CCAATAAAGTCACATGGAATGTTTTGGGTTGCTTTTGTGGACTTCTGGTTGTTGTCTATAAGGGAAGAGGTATTTTTTTAACAATTCATTTTACTCTGAAGATAAACAAATGTCTCAGGGTTTTGAAACAACACGAGGGAGAGAAATTAATAGCAGAACTTTCATTATTGGGTGAACTAATCCTTTAAGAGTGTGTCTGTGGTGTTCTGTTCTTTGCAAAGCCTTGATGATATGAACTACAAGCTGTTGTTAGTAATTTTATCTCTTAGCCATCCTAAAATACTGCCAGAAATTACATACATCATTTTACAACTGATCATAGGATAAAATAGTGCAAGTAATTAGGCAAAACATTATCACATCCCTCAGAAAAACATTCGGAAAATGATCAAATTTGGTGTATGGAAGTGTTTCTGAAGTGGAGATTTAAGGGTCAGCACAAGAGACAAATAGATATAAATAAATACATATGAATAACCCCTAAAAGTGTATTTTGGATTTTTTCTTTCAATTAGACTGAAAATAAAACTCTCCATGAAAGCCAAATGCCACAGATCTATAAATTGGCAGTTAACTGAAAAACTGAACTTTTTAGCTAGAAAAACTGTTAACTTTTTAGTTTAAGTGGTGAGCGAAATAATTTCCTCTCCCATAACTTCAAGTGTTTTGAAGCAGGTTTCTCTTACATGTTACATTAAACAAAAAAGTACTGTATGTCTGAATTTCTCTTTTTGATAAAAAATAGGGGGGAAAAGCCAGATTACCTTCTACTTCTTTTATGTTACCTGCAATGTGTGAAATCGACACTGCTCGCTGCAGAGCCACTTGAGCTTCAGCAAGGGGGAGCTTGAGCTCCAACTTCTCCATCACCCAGTGACATCACTTGTAGAAGTGAAAGGAAGGAGGAGCTAGAGCTTAAGCTCCCCCTTGCTGGAGCTCTGCAGTGAGCACCACTTGGTGAAATCCGGATTAGAATGCCTAAAATTGAACGTCAAAGTATGAAGTGCTTGCTACTTTATACATTGCCTAGGTATTCTATACAATTCAGTGTTCCCGTGCGGCAAAGTATGTAACTAATCTACCCCTGCCATTTTTCTCACCGCTGACGCTGGTGGTGGCGCTTGGGTCGTTGTTTGATGATGGTGATTAAAGCAGGTGTGTTGAATGTTATTATTAGACAAGCGTATTACTGGTACAAGATTCCACAACCACATCACAGACAATATTGCCATAATTCTTCTCATGATGTCAGTGTATGTTATACAGCTGAGATTCTTCACTAATTCATGAAATATAAACGTACTAGACCAAAGTGTCAAAATATTAAGTGTTTTTGTGTGAAAGAGGAAAATGAAGTACAATTCTTAGTGCCATTCCAGTCTTACCTATATAGGTGTACTGTAATGAATACTTCAGTTCTGCTGTCATTGTTTTTCCGGTAAGAACATCATGTGCTTTATTCCATATTTCTTCCACTTTAAAATACGCAATGATCAATAAAGGTTTTCATTATGCTCTTTTGACACTGTACCTAAATGAAACTATGCCTAAAACCATCAGGCATAATATACATTTCCTAGGCATTCCATACAATACTGGAATTTCATACATTGCCAATAACATGTACATTTCTGAGGTGCACATTTAATGGATACTTTAGTGCCCACTGGAGAGTTTCTGTTATTGGCTGTAAAGCAATGCAACTAGACCATGTGTCTAATAGCAACAGTACATTTGTGTAAAAAACCATCATTCTTGTTCTCAGAGCTCTGGCTAAATTCACGATTCTGTGCTAACCTGAGAATTGTTTTTTGACAAATGAAGAGTTCAGATCCAAAAACCATCTGAAGTTTTCTTCTAAAATTAGTATTTGTCTCATACTCCTATGTTTATGCTCATTTATTTCATTTTGAAATTAACAAAAATGACTTATTCTTTGTCATAAAAGTAAAAAGACTAAACTCACACAAAATCCTTTCAAGAGTTCACACTTAGATATTGCTTGATGCTTTTTGCAGGTTTGGCAAGCTGTCCCAGGAGATAACCCTGAGCTCGGAGATAATTAAGCCCAGGGTTTCCACCTGATCAATTAGGATGTAAGGGGTTCAGAGATCAGGTAGTTCTCATTCTTTCTTCTCTAGAAAGAATGAAAAGGAGGAGATGGGGTGGAAGGGGGGGGATTCTTCCCAAATAAAGATAAGGCAGTAGTGTAAAATCGGTCTATTTATTATAGGCTTGGATTAATCTCATTGTATTATTGCTGATAATTAATTAGAGACATGCGTAATCAGTCAAATCATGTGCTTGAGTTAGTAAAACTTCACTGAAATAATTGCAGATGTGGGACCTAAACTCAAAATTGTGGGTGAAAAGTCAGAATTGTTCAAATTGTTATATAAATTCAGTACAAAAGAAGTCACGATAACTTGAACAGGCTTTCGAAAACATTTACTGAATATAATATTTTCTCACCCTTAATCTATTTGAAAACAGAAAAAAAAATTAGGCATTGTAGTGTCACATTATGTCTTTTGTTTGTTTTTACTTTGGAAAAAATATGCACAACTGTTGAAATAAAACATTGACAAGGTCTTTTTTCCACAGTGCAATGGGTCTTAGGCAATTTTACAGTTTTTACAGTACACACAAAATCTTCTCTTGTCATGCAATTTCTAAAACATCTCACTCAAAATGCAAAACTACACCTCAAATCTCCAAAACTAGAAGCTGTTTCTCAGCCTTGAACTCAGTTTTCAATAGCATAAAACACTTTTTACATAAACTCTACACACAACTCTCTACCTAAAACACACAAATCTAAGAGGATTTCACTTGATTTCCTTTTCCAAACACAACCAGTCAAAATGTTACACTTATTCACCATATCAAACACAAACACACGGCTCAAATGTGGAAACCCCTAATTTGTTAACTGATCACTAATCAATTACTGCTTTACTCTAGTAAAGGCCTATAAATAGAACAAAGGCTGTTCTGGTCCAAAAACAAACAAACGAACAAATCAAACTAAACTGGTTTTCCACCCATCCACTATTTGTAGTTTTGAATCTACCCCATATTCACTTTTTCTGAATTCTAAATGCTAAATTTCTCTAGAAATGAATTGAGAAATTCTTCTCAGCCTGGCTCTGTAAAGTGTATGATGGCCAACCCTATATATACACAGTGTTTACATGGTATATCCAAACATTTACTATTGTGAAAGAAGTGTTTGCCATTTGATGCAAATGCTTCATGGCTTTTGTCTTTTGCAGTTTTGAGAGTTGTATGTAAAGTTTTGAAAAAAAGAAGACATTGTTTTGATAATGTGTGTGAGCAGTTGGAAAAAAACTGTAAAAAGAAACTTGCATGGTAATGCACTTCAAAAAGTACTATTGTTTGAAAAACAAGGCACTATATCCTCCTGAGACCCCGCCCATTGACTTGTGTCCTCTGTAGTTGACATTGCGTTTTCATGAATTTTCTTTGAATTTTTTTAGCTACTATGTCACATCCTGTTGTACTGTTCAGAGGACATCCTGGGCTTTCTAGTGATATGACATTTGATTGGCTAGCATGCTAGAAGCCGCTTCTTACACTGCATCCAAAATGGCCGACATACAAAAACAGCACATTTAATGGAAAGGAGAGAGGCATGTAAAATTCAGCTTTTTAAATGTTTTTTTACTATTATTATTACATATATATTTGTTTATTGAAGTGTCAGGAACAATACATTCAGCTTTCAAAACTGTTAACTTGTTTGTGTTTTAAAATATCATCCTTTTTTAAATGTCCACTATAGTGGACACCAGGACCATCTTAATGTAGTTAATGACTGCATGTTGTGGCAGGCAGAACTGAAGCAGAGAGGATTCTTTATAAAATAGTTGGGGGAGACACTGATTTAAGCTGCGGTCACACTGGGCTTTTTCTCCCATAGATTTCCATTCATACGCACATAAATGCGTCAGACCGGAAACGCAGGGTCATGCGTCAAGTTTCACAGGTTGCTGCGGTGTAAAGTTCTAGCTTGGTGAACTCTGACCTGCGAAATCGCATCAACTGACTGCGTGAGACCAATAGAGGTTCAAAACATGACCTCTGTGGACAGAAATTGAAAACATGGAGCAATCGCTCGCTTTTTTAAATGTCTTTAATCCCGCCCCTTTTCGCAGCGCCGCACAACAGAATATCGCATGCTCAAACTCTAATGTGAGTGTAGCTTCAGAGTCGGACAATCAGACAATTAGAGGATTAAAGACAATTAGAGACTGACAATCAGTTTTAAATCGCTTTTAAGTTCAATTTGTTTTTGGTTAACATCACTTTTTTTGTTTTTATTTTTATTGAGTTCGGCTCTCTTTCAGACTAATCAGGAATTTCAATACAAAAGGGAAAAATGGCTTTTGTTTTTGTTACATTAATGTTTTATTAATATCCCTTTACAGCCATATCCTGTACAGTTTTGTTGTCTGAGTGGCGGTCGTTTCAAACTAAAATGGTCTTGTGGTCCACTACAGTGGATATGCTGTAAAATTAAAAATTAAATGTAAAAACTCTAGAATTTTTTTTTCACCCAAAGGATGTAGGAAATCTGAAAACAAAAAACAAAAAAAAAAAAAACATTTTGTTTGGGTCTCAGGAGAATATAACATTGTGTACTGTTTTAAATGAATAGTATGCAAATGTTTCACTTGTGCCTTTTGTGGATGATGCCAGGTGTGTAGGAGTCAGTAGTACAGTTATAGCTTGCCCATGTGTTGGGCTTCTCAAACCATTGTATATATGTGTATTAAGCATGAGTTTTGAATTGATATCACAACAGAAGCCATAATAAAATGTGGAAGATGAACAGGTGCGCTGGCAAGAGTTTTGGCAGCAGACTTTAAAAAAGCAGCTTTATCTAACAGATGTCTAAGCAAACAAGGAAGCCGTTTAAGACCTTTCTGTACACGCTGGATCTGAAGCAAGACGTTTTGTTCATGTGTTTCCCACAGAATACAGAGCAGTTACTCAGCACTGCAGAGGATCAACCAGGACTTAGAGGATAAAATCCACCGAAATGTGAGTGCGCACTTTGGCAATACACTTGAAAATAAAAAAAATAAGGTGCACATGCACCCCTTTTTATTTTGATGTGCGAATGGTTTTGTTCACATGTGTTTACGAATACTCATCTCGCTCTTTAAGTGTTTTCCCTTCTAAATGGGATTTCAGGAGAAAGTGTTTACGCCGCTGTCCACATATGTGTGTGCGTGCGTGTTTTTATAATGTGACAGATTGGTGAAAGTGTTAAACATGTACAATAGCGCTGAATTCACTAAGAGTCTATTTGAATATCAATACAGTGCCACTGGTGCGCTTGACGTTAATTATAGTCCATTACAACAAGCCCGTCCGCCTTCATGTGACAGTGTGATAGTGAGTCTATTATACGCCGCAAATCTGCATCACAGCCTGTTTGTTAATTTGAAGTCGCAAACAATTAAATTATAATTAGCCTGCCTGCCGCAGTACATTGCGTGACCATTACATGTCTGTATTAGGAGCTTACTACTAGTAGGCTATGTGAAAGTAAACAGGCTTTTTTAAGCAACAGGTTGCGTCCATTATGACGTCAATGATGACACTGAAGGTTATGGGTGCAGGTATGAAAGGAAAATGATCTGATATCAGCCTTCTTTTGATATTTCTTTGAGTAGGCCTATTAATTCCCATCTGACACAGGAGAATGCTACTGTAGAATGGCTTAAAGTCCGCTGAAAGCATTTCCTAAAAAGATTTGTGAAGGCTTTGTTGAAGCGTCATGAGCCAAAATCAACCTACAATCTATGAGGAGAATCAATCATATAATAAAGTTTCATTTTAAGCAAAGTACATGAAAATCCAAAATAATATTACAGTAATTAACAGCTTTAAGCAAGGAAACAACTCATTCAAATTAAAGAATTGTGTAAGACAAACAAATTAAAAGTTATTCTTTAAGTTGTTCATTTATTGATTTTCTTTCAGCTTAGTTCCTTTATTCATTAGAGGGTAACCACAGCGGAATGAACCGCCAACCTATCAAGCATATGTTTTACACAACGGATGCCCTTCCAGCCAGAAATGGCACAAACTTACCTGGCGCTCTAGGCAAATGACTAACGTGCCACTCTCACCGTGTTTATGCCGCCTTTTACGAGTTTAAATTTACGAGTTAGATTTGTGTAGTTTTGAATCGTGTTTTAAGTTTACGAATTGACTTTTTAGTATTTCTAAATCGTGTTTTTAATTTTACGAATTTGATTTGTGTATTTTTAAATCATGTTTTTAATTTTACGAATTGGATTTGTGTATTTTTAAATCGTGTTTTTAATTTTACGAATTGGATTTGTGTATTTTTAAGTCTTGTTTTTAATTTTATGAATTGGATTTGTGTATTTTTAAATCGTGTTTTTAATTTTACGAATTAGATTTGTGTATTTTTGAATCGTGTTTTGAATTTATGAATTGGATTTGTCTATTTACACATTGTGTTTTAATCTTACATACTGGATTTTGTAAATGTGAATAGTATAGAGGATGTATAAATTACATTTTGTGTAAATGTATTATATTTGAGACTTATCTGGATCCCTAATTATATATGTGCGGGCGCAGTCATTTGAATCTTTTTTGGCTCAAGACTTCCGGTCTCATTCACTTAAATTAGTTTGTAGAAATTAAAAACAGCTCGTCATGCTGCTTGATGTTGCAAGCTAATATTTTTTTTATAATCTCCTACTTAGTCTGCATAGTCATGATCACACTTGTTTGTGAAGACCATTTTCTGTCGATTATTATTTCTAGTCCTTTCTCCTATAGGCAACGCAAAAACGAGCACACTTCCGTATCACAGAATAAGGTCAATACATCAGGGATGCAACAGAGTGTGACATGGATAAAAAGCTCATCACCTTCATGAACACTGGCCTCATTCTGACACTGAGAATTGTTGAATAAAGTCATTATTATTTATTTATTGTGCACAGAAAAGTATTCTCTTAACTTTGCCAAATTCAGATTGAACAACTGAAGACAAATGGTCGGTTTTTGGACTTTGAAGGAGTAGGGAGTCTATGGAGGTCGAGGTCTCAGGGGTTTGGAATGACATGAAGAACAGAATTTTCATTCTTGTATGAACTAAATCTTTAATTAGCAAATAATAATAATAATAATAATAATAATAATCTTTGTTGTTTTTTGCTAAAGAGAAGAAATTATATATATATATATATATATATATATATATATATATATATATATATATATATATATATATATATATAATTATAACAAATAATATGCCAAAAAATAAGTGTATTTTTCCCAAAAACAAGCAAAAATAATCTGCTAATGCATACCTGTCAACATTGGGATGTGAAAATAAGGGCAACAATTGTTCATTTGGAGCTGTTTTGTTGTAAATAAACAGTAAAAAGGTCAGTAACATGTTTTATTATTTTTATTTACAAACGAAAAAATTAATATATACATTAGCAGCAAATACATTAGCAGTTTATAATGAAATAGAATCAAGTTATCAAATCTCATTAGCCGTTTTTTCACTGTATAACTTTCACATTTTGATTAAAGAGCAACGAATGAATCTCTTATTTATTTAGATTTTTTTTTCGTGTGATTACATTAATTAACAGGTGTCACTTTAAAAATGCACACATCTAACAATATAATGAAAGCATTCGATTTCTTTCCTAACTGTTTATGCTCATTTAAGATGAAATTAGTTGTGTTAAAAAAAAAAAAAAAAAAAAAAAAACACCAAGATTGACATCTTTAGATGTTATTATTATTGATTATGTGTATATGTCTGTTTAAGAACGCACCAAAAACCCAGACTGGCTTGTTCAGAATCCGTTTGGGAAACAGCGTCTATTTATCACTATGGAGTGCGTAAGCTGACAGTCCAACACAATCTCACGGCAATTCGTAACTTTTTCATTTAGTGGCTAATTCGTACAAATTCGCACAATCTAATTCGTACATTTTAGTATGATTTGCGTATCCCCCAATGACGGTTGGGTTTAGGGGTGCGGTAAGGTGCCACGCCTCCTTTTTAAAATCATACATTTTCTTACGACTGAACTCGTACGAATTGTACGAATTAGCCACTGAACTGCCAAAACGTAAAATACTTACATTTTCTTGTGAGATCAGGCTGGACAGTCACCAAAGCAATTTTTACTGTTTTGAGGATAGCATATGAGGGGTGACGGCACCTGTAATAAAAAGAAAGGGAATCGCATCTTTTTTATATTTATTTCAAAGTGTTTTCTCGCCTAAACAAATCGAAAGCATAGAACAGACTCATATTTATGAGCGAGGGGCAGCCCCTGGTGGTTCGGCGGTATGGGTTGTGTATGGGGAGGATCGGCTCTTTAATGTCTACTTGCCACCCTTCAGAGAAAGACTGAAAATATGGTAGAAATACGGGAAAATACCTTTACGAGATGATAGCTGGATAGAACTGTAAAATATGGGGGAATCCCGGGAAAAACAGGAGGGTTGACAGGTATGCCAATGGGGCAGGCCCGGATTGGCTAATCGGGAGGACCGGGAGAATTCCCGGTGGGCCGGTCCGTTTTTTGGCCGCGAGGGCCGGTGTCCCTAGCTGCAGAATCTGTTGCTCTCTGCAGTCACACTTTTTAAATTTATTTATTTACTTGACCACAGCCTTTTTATTCATTATTTTACCGCAACTCTTCTCTTTTCATCTATTTTAATGATTATAAAACTCAGTTTTGTCTCCTATCTACACACCATTATTGTGGACCAGCGGTTAGTGCGTTAGATTAAGACGCCGCGGACCCGGGTTCGACCCTCGTTAGAGTAACTTTTTGTTTTCATTTTTATTGTTAAGACATATGATACTGTTAGGGTTGTTGAACATTTGAAGTTCTAAAGCAGCTCTTTTCTCAAAAAATGACGTGATAGTGTCATTAGAAACTGATTTGGAAATGACCTTATTTTATTATAGTCAGTCGTGAACTGAAGTGGGCCGGTCTGAGGCTTGAAACTCCAGGGCTGAAAAGGAGTCCCACTCCGGCCCTGCAATGGGGTAATCAAAATACTCATGTTTTTCTTTTTGACAACTGATTATTTTGCTTACCCCACTGGCAGATTGTTGTGCTTGCTTTAAGAAAAATTCTCACTTAATTTTGACAATATTTCTTAAAATGAGACCTAATTTTTAGCTTGTCTAAAAAATGCTTATAGAATTAAGAGTTTTTAGATATTTGGATTGAAAACAAGACATGAATCTACGCAAGGAAAACATTTTTGCAGTGTATCTGTCATTTTTTTTCCTCACCTGAAAACATTCTCCTTTTCATCTAGTCCCAGCACCACGATGATGAGAAACGGGCTCTCAGTCGCGAAATCATCGTTCTTAACAATCATCTCATGGAAGCCAAGATGACCATTGAGAAGCTCAGAGAGGACAATGTAAGAGAAATAATGACTATGTGATTTCCCTTTGCACACAGAGGCTTAGCGGCTACCCTTTGGAGGATGGTTTGCTTTAGATTACCTAATGTTCCTTTTCTCCCGCTCTGCACAGGACTTGTACAGAAAAGACTGTAACCTTGCTGCACAGCTTTTGCAGTGCAATAAATCACATTACAGAGCCCAGTTATCCGAGGTAAGTTAACAAAAACAGTTTTGTACATTTTCTGACTGCACTGGTTAGTCCTGATACGTGGTGCATTTGTATTTCCCTAGCATATGCATCTCCTCCTGAAATCAGTATTGAAGTTTTAAGATTATCTTTAAAATAATATGCTCCAAAACAACGACACAATTCTAATTTAAAAGTTCACCAATATAGTTATGGTTTTGTTTTGATGACTTCATCCTACATTTTAGCTTGCCAGTTTTTATCCAATCAAATACTCACGATTAGTGTTTGATTTCCCCTATATTATAAAAATATGCTAAAGATAAGGCTGAAATAATTCACACAGTTACTTTTTCTATGTGTTTAATGAGAAATTGTTCAATAAACACGAAATAAATAATTCAGACAAGTGTTATAATGCTTTTCATTGGAGTGCATAAAGTCTGTTTTCTTGTTAGTGTCATGCAGTGGTGGAAAGAGGACTGAAAAATCGTACTCACATAAAAGTACCATTACTTGCCTAAAAATGTAGTGCGAGTAAAAGTATCTGTTGTAAATATAACTCAAAGAATGAGTAAAAAGTAGCCCTTTTAAGATTAGTGAGTATTACACTGTTTAAAACTGATGCGTTTACATCTAATTTGTGGATGTGTGTAAACGTAACATTCTGTAGTGCATCTAGTTAATGCCCAGACACAACACCATAAGGCGTTAATATTAGGTTAGATTTAGACTGTGATGTCAGGTGGCAAAAATTCTATATCTAGCCAGCGTCTAAGGATGTTTTTTGATGTGCAATATGATGTCAAATGATGTTGATATTTGGTTGATTTTAGGTTAAGTTAGAAAGTGACAAATTCAGCGTTGAGCCAACATCTTAAACCAACTTCATATTTACATCAAAAGATACCATTTATTCATCAGGTATGGCAACCAAAATCCAACATCTGATAGATGTCATAGTGGTAACGTCCACACAACGTCAAGCTGTAATATCATTAGACTTTGATATTTGGTTGGTTTAGGTTGGAAATTGACGTTGGCCTGACGTTGAGTTCTTATTTCTACACGATTTTTATTTCCAGTCTGACGTCATGTGCCTGCTTGGTGTTTAAGGCTATTTCGATTATCATACAGTAAACATCTGTTATCTTTTCATCAGAGACATGCATCTAAACAGTCTCTGGGTCAATGCGTGTAAAGATTTTGGACATCTTTTTGGAGACTTTTGGTGCTTTCAAACAGTTTGCAGAAATTATAAATCTCCCATGTCTTGAGGTAGTTCATTATGAAGCGATTTACCTTCTGTGTGCGCTCTGATTGGACAGGAATCACAGGACTGATGTTTCTAATCCCCATAGACAAGAAATAATAATGTAGTGACTGCAGGTTGAAGCAAAGTAGTGGAGTAAAAGTACAGATACTGCACTAAAAACATACTCAAGGGAAATTAGAAGTACACATTTTCAAAACAACTTAGTAAATTACAATTCCTGAGAAAAACTACTCAATTACAGTAATTTGAGTATTTGTAATTTGTTACTTTATACTACCTAAGGGGAGAATCTGGTTGATTCAGTTTGGTTATGTTGAATTTCATGGCACACTGAATAAAATATTACATTTCTTTTTAATAAACATTTCGCTACTTTTGATAAGTTACTATTAAGTGGAAAAAACTTTTTTAAATTAATCCATGGTGTGACAGTATGAAATAATTAAAAAAACACTTCTTGGAAGATTTTTCCTTGTGTGTCTTCATTTGTATGTTTTCTACCCAAAATATTTAAAATGAAATATTATCTTGGGGCTTTTTTTGTTTTAAAATGTTAATCAAATGCATAACTGCCAACACTCTCGTTTTTCCTGGGAGACTCCCGTATTTCAGACCCATCTCCCACCACCCTCCCATGTTGTTATTTTTACCAGAAAACTCCTGTAATTTCACCCCACCACCAGTCCTCAGCTTTTTGGTAGTCTGTAACACCCCTGGGTCAGCAACTTTGGTATAGTATCCAATGGCAGGGGCCACCCAAAACCCAGTGTTCTGACAACTTTTTCTACCTTTTCAGATTGTCCTACTTCCCATTTAATAAGTAGGTACACTGTAAAATAAAATTTGTTTTATGCTACGTTAAGTAAAAAAATAAAATAAAATAACAACGGTACATTTAAAGAAATTATTTTAACTTAGCATCCGTTATTTTACAGTAAATCTCAGTAATTTAATTAATTTGATTTGCTACCCACCAGATTATGCTACCAGTGTAAATTTTAATATATAGTAGTGTGATTTGAAACTGTAATATCGCTCTTACCTACCTAATCCCTAACCCCAACCTTTCAAATACAGTGTTGGTAGCATAATCTGATGGGTACATTCTCAGAAAAAAATGGTGCAATGTTTTACAGAAGAAGGTACAAACCCTTGTCACTGGGGCAGAACCTTTTTATGGAACAGGATTGTACCTTAATAAAAAGAAACATATTTGTACTGTTGCAGTTTGTACCTTTGTACCATGGGAAACCAAAATATACCTTTAGTTTTTGAAACCTGCAGATACAATATTGTACCTTCATCAAAAAAAAAAAAAAAAAAAAAAAAAAAATTCTAAACCATAAAGGTACCGCCACTGTGACAAGACACTTTGTACCTTAACAGTGTCAAAAATGTTTAAAATTTAAAATTAATTTAACTTTTAGTTTACAATACCTTTAGTTTTATGTTTTACCAGTTGTTTTGTTTTATGGAACGTATTAATGAATGTTTGTGAGTTTCTTTACACATATGCTTTTAAATGATGATTCATGTTTTAATATGGAAATTATTCATAAAATCACTTTGTCGTTCCAGTCATATTTATTGTAATAAAGGAGTTGTACCTTTTTTATGAGAACAATTGTGAACCTTCATTTCAGTTGTATCGTAAAAGGTACCAAACAGTATCATAAGAGGTCTTTTCTGTACCATACACTCTCAGAAACAAAGGTACGCGTGCTGTCACTGGAGTGGTACCTTTTTAAGAGGTACAAATTTGTACCTGCAAGGTTCATATTAATACCTTAAGGGTACATATTAGTACCTTAAAAGTACAAAAGTGTTCCTCTTAAAATTTTTAGGTACTAATATATAGGTACCAATATGGACCCTTTAAGTACAAATGGGTACCTTTTGAATAAAGTTCCACCCCAGTGACAGCTTGCGTATTTCTGAGTGTATAAGGTACAGTTTTTACAAAGATACAAAACTGTTTCTCAAGGAACATTATTTGCACCGTGTACCTTTTTTCCTGAGAGTGTAGGATAAAATGTCAGGACACCAGTCCATAGTACAGTTACTAACCAGGTTCTGTGTTACTCATACAAACACACAACGCCACTTGTCTTCCTCTCCACCCTCGGTCTTCCAGAGACAAATGCTTGGCAGATATGCATTTGCATGTTGGTTCTTGCTATTGATGAGCGTTATTAATAACAATTAGCAATAATATTTGCAAATAATCCATTATTTGTAATTAATTTAGTGCTTGAACAAAACCAGAGAATATTTGTAAAATGATAAACCAAATTCCCTGAATTACAACAAAATCATTTAAATAATTTAATATTATTTTGCACAAATGTTGTATTATTTTTAGATGGATTTTCTTCTGAGGGTCAAAATAAAATGGTTTAAGAGTCAAGGCACATATTTGATACAGTGTTATGAAATTTCTAATATACAGTAACTAAGAGTGGACTACAAATTCTGAAATATAATTGCATGTCTGTATAATATTGAACAAAAATAGAGCATAAAGGAACATTTAGACCTAGTCTCGGGGTAAAAGTTATTTATAGTACAACATCTTGTGCACAGTCTTCATATAGCCTATATATTATTGATGCGCTGTTTCCAAGATACAAAATGTCATCGGTTGAAACCCAACTAAGGGGCCAGATCAGTCTCAGAAATAATACATTTTCAAAATATAATTTATACATCCACACAATTCGCATTTACAAAATCCAACATGTAAGATCAAATCTCGACTCGTAAATACACAAATCCAATTTTTAAATTCAAAACACAATTCTAAAATACACAAATCCAGTTTGTAAATTAAAAAAAATATTTAAAAAAATTAAAAATAAATAAATAAAAAAAACACAAACAAATTTGTAAATTCAAAACACGATTAATAAATACACAAATCCAATTTGTAAATTCAAAACACGATTAGTAATATAGACTAATTGGATTTATTTAGTAAAAAATATTTATGATTTTTACTTGTGAATTCATAAAATATGTGTTGTTTTTATGAATCATGTTTTAAATTTACAAATTGGATTTTGTTAATATGAATTGTGCTGTGCATATATGAATTCTATTTCTTGAATGTATTATTTTTGAGACTGATCTGGCTCCATACAACTGCCACAATTATTATTTAAACACCATATAATTGAGGTCTGAACCTGCATATATTAAAGTACCAAATCATGATACACGATTATTGTTATTTAGTGAAATCAGCAAGGCAAAAATAGTAAATCAAGTTCTTGTTTTTTTAAATAATGAAGTTCTGTCCAAATTAAGAACAAGAGCTTGTTCTGGCAGGACAAATGTGGGGGTGTTTAAGTAATAATAGTATTTGCCAATAAACCTGGCAATTTATTAATCTGCTCCAAGCCTTAAGCCGGTCCCATGATGTCTAGTGCAGACCTTGTGTTGGCATGCTGCCTGCTGTAAAAACCTGTTCATATTTGGCAGATACAGCCGAATGGAAACATCAATGCGTCTTATACAACGCGTTTAGGGAATTAGCCCTTTCATATTGTTTTTTTTCGAAAATGCCAAAGAACTGGCACTAAGCATTCATTAAAACAGTCAGTCAGAAAAAAAAGGTCTCATGGGGTTATGAAGAAAAACTGAATTTTTGTATGACCACTGCAAGATTTCTTTAAAAGCAGCCAACAAAAGCCTTGAAAGCAAGAACACTCGGGTCAACAGATGTCCTGCGAGTTACTGTAGATATCAAATGAGATTTTTTTTAACAGGTATCAACCCTTTTTATTTTTTAAGAACTACAATTTTTGTTTTATCTTTGCTCCTCTTTTGCTTCTATAATTAGCCATGTTCCGTTAGCTAATTAGCTGCAATTTACTTTCTTCTTGTTGCTATGGTGAAAGAACGGAGAGGTAAAAAGAGTTGTGATATTGGACTGATGCCTAGTACTCTGTGTGTGGTGTCAGTAGCAATGAAATCTGTGGTTCTTTCCTCTGGCCAATTTTCACTAAATGGAAAAACTAGAGCCATGTACTTGTGTAGACCATTAGCACAGACTTAATATTGGCTGTTAAATATATCTTTGGATGCCTGCTTTGCAGGTTTTCTTCTGGGTTTACTGAGAGCTCCAGTTCCATTCATTTTTTTGTGTGTATTTCTTACTGCCTGTAAGGACACTGACCTGACTGAAGCTTTTATTCTCCCTCTTATCCCTACCTGCTTTCTCTGTGGGTGTGATTTTGCCAAGTAGGATGCAAACCTGGATTAACATCTATGTTGATCCTGGAACATCACTCCTGTTCGAAAATGTAATCCACACCTAATTCCTACCCGTAATCTTAACGCTAACTGTGAATTATTCTCGATATCAAAGAGGATTAAGAGTTGGTAACAATGATATAGAAGCACATAACCCCAACTGTAAGCCTAAATACCTAAAGCACAGATGTTGATCCAGGAGCATGTCTTGGTGTAATCACATTAACATTTCTCCTCCTGTGTAAGTCTTTCAACTCTATTGTTTATTGAATCCATCTAATGGATGTCTGGTTTTCTCTCTCAGTTACCTGCAGAGTTTCAGGAGCGTGTAAGCTTGCACATGGAGGGTTCTTCCCTCTGCCACTCCCCATATGCCGACACAGTGCCTGCTTCTGTCATTGCTAAGGTCCTGGAGAAACCAGAAGAGGCCTGCAGCAGTCAAGCCTCTCGCTCACCCAGCCCACAACCCCAGGAACGCCAGGGCTTCCTTGTGGGCACCAGCCTTGTGGGTAGCACTGAGCGCCTTGGCCTCCGAGCTACTTACAAGTCAGACCTGTACAGCAGTGACACAGCACTTTATTGTCCTGATGAACGGAGACGAGAGCGCAGACCCAGCATGGACCTCCATGGACAAAGAAAAGTTTACGAGCCCCAGAACTCCACGGATAGCAACCCAGAAGAGGGATCAATGTCCCTACAGCCTGGCTTCTCGCAGGACCACTTCCGAAAGTTTACAACCTCTCTGGGAGGAGGCTCCAGCTCTTACTCCAGCTTTAGTGGAGGAGGATCGGAGGACAAGGGTCAGGATCCTCAGAGTAGTGCTGCATCTTCTCCACGCCACCCTGCCCTTTATATGGACTGGAGGGATGGGGGTGAATACGAGCACAAGAGCGATTCCTCCTGGGAGCGGGAGAGTCCAAGCGCCTTCACGAAGGCACATGCTTTTCAACCGCCTGAGACCAGCCACCATCAGAATGGTAGCTCTCCCATTTACAGCAGAACAATGTCCTCTTGTTACAGTGAACCTTATGAGCCCCTGCCACCTTCCACCTCTCCAAGCATCACCTATGGTGACAGTCGCCGCGGAAGTGCTTTTGCTCCTGAGGAAGAAGAGCTGATTGGGCGGTGGAGGCAACTCAGCGTGGAGGATCTGAGTGCCCACTCATACCGCAGCCCTGGGCGGGCATCACCCTACAGTTTCTCAGAGCAGCACTTCTCTGTCCGGCCTGCAAAAATTCGCCTTGGTCCACTCTACAGTAGCTTCCAGGAGGGTACTGATGTATACCATCATGCTGGGGTACTTGACCCCTTCTCCAGCCCAAGCCCTGACTGCAGCCCAGGTTTACGACAACAGCAAAGCCAACCACACCTGTACCGCTCCAAGGAGGATAGCCAAGAGTCTGAGCATAGCCTCTACAGCCCCAAGGACGGTGGGGTGGCAGCTGGGGGCCAAGCAACTGAATATGTTGATGTAAGTCCAAACAGCTCAAATGAGTCACTGGACCATGGATCTCTGGAAATGGGTGCTGAACTGCAGCATTATCAACCCGAGAGGCACAGCGTGTCCCCTCAGGGAACCACCCCACCGCCTCCTCCACAACAACCGTACCAAAAATTTGGCACACTAGGGCTGTCACGTAAGGACAGTCTCACCAAGGCACAGCTCTATGGTACTCTACTAAACTAAGTGTGGGGTTTCTTGGTTACTCTTTTTTGCAGCTCTATGGTACTAAGAGCAGGGTTTCCTGGTTACTTTCTTTTGTTGGTAGGTTTTGAATGTTAAGCTACAGTTTGAGCCAAACACTTGATGGGATTTTCTGCTGAATCTTTTCATTCCATCAGCTCTCTTATCTTTTTTTTCCCTCTCGGTTTCTGTATCTGTTAGTGTTTTCTAAACATCAAACATGAATTGCTCATGTTTGTACAGTTGATATGAAGCTCGGCACTATTTGTATAGCCTATTTTGAAAGTTTATTAATGGTTCTGTGTGGTTTGTGAGAAAGTATTTCAAGTGCATTAGGTGGTTACGGACTTTTGGAAACAAGTCTTCGAAGAGAGAGAAAGAGATTAATTTTGTTTTACCAAAAGCCTTCGGCTCGAAAGGGTTTGTGAATGGACAGCACATGCTATGTAAAAAGAATTGCAAATTTTGACAAGAAATCTGATCTTTTATTATTTAATTTATGAATAGCTGTATTTATTGTTAAGTATGCTATATCTATTGTTTAATAAATGTAACACTATGGGAAGATTGAACAATCTATATAATTGTAAATTATTTATATTGCTATAAATAAGGCAATCAGCACAATTATACAAGCTGCAAACGATTAAAGATGCCTCAAATGATTAGTCATGACAAGGATTTGAGATTTCATGACAATCCATTGATGGATCCTTCCAGAGGTTTGTGAGCAAGACCTTGCGCAAATATTTGAGAATAAAGTCTGCATGGATTCATATTAACCTAAGTCAGCCCTTCAAGATCAAGTCTCAGCCAAAGCGATACTTCTAATCTATTTCTATTCCACATAGGTTTGATACAGCTCAAATCTATTGCACCATCAAACGAGTACAATATCTTGGAAGCACTGGGCATTTTATTAAAGTCCTGATGTGTTTTGTTGGGCGATGGAATTTCTGAGGTGATTGTTCTTTTCAGTGTTTTCTCTATTTTGTTCCTCAGTGCTGTAAGCCCCCCCGCCCCCTCCCTCAGGCCCTCTCTACCTCACGATTCAATCCCTCTCTTCTTTCTTAATCAGCTGGGATCCTGTGTCAGTTGACACAATGATGCATGACTCTGTTTCTTGTTTTGCTTTCTATATCTAATAAAGCACAATAGTTGCACCATGTCCGTCTCTTTAGCTCCCTTTTGTTTCCTGCACTGCTCCTGTCGGAGAGCCAGGTTTGCTGCTGAGGTGTATTGAGGAGAATTTATAATTCAGAATTCTGTCTCCAGTACGAAATGTTTCTTTGTACAGTGCGAATGACAGCACACAAAAGAAGGACCTTGGTCCTCCTCCACAAAACAACCAACCATTTTTGTCCATTTATTCAATCTTTAGAGTATATCCGAAGCACTGCATTTACAATCAAACCATGTCATGTTAGTGCGTGTGATTAAAGACTGTAGTTAGTAAACTCCCTACGGCACCGCAAATGAAATATATCTAATAATGGCTAATACACAGCAATTTATAGCAGAGGCAATGCAAAATACACAGCCAATATGCTGGCTCCTTTTTTAAGTCCACTATCCGCAAAGCAACAGCCTACGTGTTTCCTTTTTGATTATGTGCCAACTCCGGAATGGCACAATCATATTTAAATATATCGTGAATAAGTCACAGGGTAGCAGTTTACTCCATGGCATTATGAAAAGATGAGATTCTGAGAGGCTGAAATGTAACTAGTTCACTTCATGGATGAATAGCTCTGCTCAATTAATTGCAGAACAACAATCCGCACTTGGTTAATCTACGTCGAGATATATGCAGTGGTCCTCTGTGTTCTTGTTAGCACGGAGCCACATGTTTCTTAGGCACGTTGCTGCTGTCATTTGTATTCAAGGGATATGTTGGACTCGATACTTTCCGGCTCTCATTCACAGAGAAGAGTGAGTCACAAGCCCGAGGCCATCTCTGAAAACACTGCAGCAAAGATACGGCGAACAGATGGACATTTTAATTTCCTGTCTCTTATCCAGTAAGTCCCTCAGGTACTTGGCCAAAAACACAACCCAAAAAGAATCGACTGCATTGTTTTTCCAAGGCTTAAAATTGCCACAAATGTGAAGGGATCTTTCTTTCACCTTCTAAGGCCCACCATGCTTTCACTCAGGTCCCATAGCCGCTTAGCCGCATGGTCATCGGTGGCCTTAGAAAGCAATTGTTCTTCTTCGCAATTAGCAAAGCATTTTCCAGACACACCTTCAACTTCAGGCGAGCATGCCAGGTAGAGTGGGGTCTGAGCACCCTCCAGTGGGCTTTTAAAGAACAACCAGGAGACCAGCCAAAAAAGAGGCTTAATCAGCAGGGGGATGTTGACATGCCGGCCCAATCTGGTTCTTACGATACCCGGAGTGAGGGCGTTTACAGTTACCTCAGTGCCATCCAGCCTGCGGGCCAGCTCGCGAGTGAAAAGCAGGTTGGCGAGCTTGCTCTGGCTGTAGCAGAAAGATTTGTTGTAGCTCTGTTCGCTGTTCAGGTCCTCAAAGTTGATGCTCCCATACTTGTAGAGTTTGGAGGAGACCACGACGACGCGGCTGGGAGACGACTGCTTCAGGAGGTCCAGCAAGAGGTTGGTCAGAAGAAAGTGACCCAGGTGGTTCACTCCCAGTTGCATTTCGAAGCCCTCTTCTGATTTACTGTAGGGACACTGGTAGAGGCCAGCGTTGTTGATAAGAACATCAATTCTTGGCTCCTCCTAATTTAAAAACACAATGATGAGCTTAGAAATTCTGGCCACAATTTTTATACTGTACAGACCATTTTAATGTGGTCATGTCATTGGCCTATGAACATTTCCTGCTTGTTTTCAAATTATTTCATAACTGTAACAAGAGTCATTTCAATCATAACTAAATGTTAAAACTGCTATCATAACATTATTTATCAATATGGGGCTCTTTTTGGATTCTCAGAAGCTATATAGATTAAAAATGTAAAACAGGAAATACATTGGGACCATTGTTTTGTTTACATCCCTCAAAATGGTCTATAGACTGCATAAATGAAAACATTGGTTACATATTTCCTCTTAGGTAAGGCAAGATCTTCTCTTAAGGTTCATATTTAGAGAGAAAATGTGCTTAATCCATTATAAAGCTTGAAGCATTAGAATCGGTGCTCAGTATCAGCCGATCACCATGACAAGAAATCAGTACTCAATATCAGCAGCAAAAATCCTGATCTGAGCATCTCTAGCTTTGACCCAACTTGGCTGTCAGAGCAGCAATACTCCTCCTGTCTTTACTAGACTGATCTTGGTAAGTCAGTAACCGCACCCTTAGGAAAAAGAAGTATTCTTAAATAAAGGTCAAGTATAAAAGTATACTTTATTTCGTAAGTAATTACGCCCAAGATACCCTGCAGTGACAAGAGCTGCACACTTTGTGGATAAAAAGATATAAAAAATAAATGCTAATTTTTAGTTTGTACAGTTGAAACATTTGTTCAGCATTCCCTGCTGTGTTGTTGTTATGCCCCATGTTCAGCATAATTGCTCAAGATGATTTACGGTTAGTCGTGTCAGGAATCCGACCACAGATAAGCATGTTGTCCTCGGAGAAAAAGGCTCAGCCATAACATTAAAACAGGTAAGCTGTATTTTTATGTTTCAATGTAATTAACTAAGAGTGAAATTGTACAAACTTGGGGGCGAGTGTGTCCTAAAAGTTTGAAAACCCCTGGCATAAAGGACATAATTGGCTCCTGAGGTTATCATTGTCATAGTAGTCTATGTTGGTGTTCCAATCGCAAAAATAAAAACAATTTGGGATAGAACAAAATTAATTTTAACATGGAAAATATATTTGTTATAGTGTGTTGCAGCATCGCAGTGTTTAGTTATGTGTTTGAGGGTAGCAAATAGGTTTTGTATTAATTTATAAATGCATGTAAGTCAACAGCGGTGACAGTGAAGGAAGCTATCACATGAACAAGTTTCTACATGAGGTGTCCCTCAAGTAATTCAGACTCACTCCTGCTTCATACAAATGCAGCTGTTTTGCCCCTCTGTTATATTGAGTAACTGTATTGAAAATGATAACAGATCATTTATTAATTGTTCTGTAATATTCATTCATTCATTTTCCTTTGGCTTAGTCACTTTATTTATCAGGGGTTGCCAGAGCGGAATGAACCGCCAACTTATCCAGCATATGTTTGCATTTGCAGCGGATACCCTTCCAGCTGCAACCCAGAACTGGGAAACACCCATACATACTCATTCTCACACATGCACTACGACCAATTTAGTTTGTTCCTATAGCGCCTGTCTTTGAACTGTGGGGGGAAACCGGAGCACCCGGAGGAAACCCACGCGAACATGGGGTGACCATGCAAACTCCACACAGAAATGTCAACTGGCCCAGCCGGGACTCGAACCAGCGACCTTCTTGCTGTGAGGTGACAATGCTAACCACTAAGATACTGTGTGGCCTACTGTTATATTGTTACTGTTTTTCTCCTTCCCAGTATGGCTCTTTTGTAGACTTTAATGGGGTATATGCCGAAGCATGCTAATAGGACTTTTAATTTGCCAGAAACCTGGGTTAAGCGCTTCCGGCGAATTGAATGCCAATGCAAAATCCGGTGCGTTTAAGGTCTGTTTTCTTTAAAAATCAGCGATCTTCACTAGCTGAGTGATATCCGATTTAAAGTGGGTCTCAGATTGTACAAGACGCACTGTATTAAATTACATTTCCCCCGCCATATCTTTATAATATGAGCATTTATTTTACCCCAGTATATTCAATGGAGCTTCTGCATTAGCCTGCCGATTCTGACGGGCACGTGCGAGTAAACAGCTTTTTGTCTCGTTTTACGCTTGAGCAACTAAATAAATGCTAAAGTTTATTTAACTGAATGTATTTTAATGACATTACAACATCGATGCTGTATAAGGAACCGTATAAAATGGTAAAAAGTTCATAATAACAGGTCACCGGAAGTGTATCAGCATGGGAACTGCACTAGCTCGGCATATACCCTATTGATCAGACAATAAACAATTTAAAAAATTTTAAATTGTTTAAAAAATTTAACAATTTAAAATTACTACCTTTAAAGCAGTGTTTCTCAACTGGTGGGTTGCGACCTAAAAGTGGGTCGTGGAGTGTGTGGTCAAAAAACAACAACAAAAGTTTAACTTTTTTAATTAAAACTTATTTTGACTTTTATTTTGAAATGCGCACGTGACAACTCTACCGTTTGACATGTGAAATTTCATGTAATTATAGCAACAAATATGTTGAAGCGCAAGTATGACCCTGAATATGTAAGTATGGATTTACATATATTGACGACAAAAAATCCTCAGTGTGTCATAAGTAGGCCACACAGAATCTGTGCGCGCAGAATCCCGCAGATTTTCCGCAGAATCCCGCAGATTTCTGCAGATTTTTAGCCCATCATTAATTCTGTTTATTTACTTGAGTAAATGTGTAAATCTGAATTTTTTCAGTTTTTATTCAGTAATTTATTACTTTTTATTTCATACATTAAGGTTTTAGTTATGATACTCTGCTGGATATTCCCAAAATAATTCCACAGAAATCCACAGATTTTAACCAAAATTCTCTGCAGAAATAACAAAAAACGTTAGCAGATTCCGTCTGTCCCTGGTCATAAGTAGTGAGGTGCTCTCACAAGAGAGCACGAAACCTATATAAAAATGACATTTTGAAACGGTTTTATTAACAGTTCAGTTTAGTTCATGGTAACTGAATCTTTCCTTACCCTAACCACTGTTTACAGTTTTTTTTGTTTTTACTTTGTATTATTTCTATATTTTGATACATTTTGTTAAATGATAGCAATAAAATATAGTTTATTTGTAGGTCTTGGTGATTTTCGTATGATTTATCTGTCACTACTTGTGTATGTTAACAAATAAATACTAATTATTTATAATTCCAAAAATTGTATTATAGTTCCTAAAAATTTGAGTCGTGGGTTGATGACCATGTCAAAATGTGGGTCCCTTGGCCAAACCAGTTGAGAAACCCTGCTTTAAAGTTTGCATTCAGTGAACTAATAAAATATTTTGGTCCCACTCTATATCAAGTGGCCCTAATTACTATACGCTTAATTCAGATTTATCATTTGATACTAATTGTACACATACACTCTTTACACTGTACTTTTTAAAATATTTTATATTGTATATTTTAAAAATCATCTGTATGTAAATAGAGCTGTAATTACTCATTCATTCATTCATTTTCCTTCGGTTCGCCACAGCGGAATGACCCTCCAACTTATCCAGCATATGTTTTACACAGTGGTTGTCCTTCCAGCTGCAACCCAGTACAGAGAAAATCCATACACACACATACTGTACACTTTGGCCATTTTAGTTTATATAAATAATCTGTTGAGCCATCCATTTTACTGTACTGTAATTTTTGAGTAAACTGTCCCTAAACATACCCATTATACCAACAAACCTGTCTCAAGGGGTATCCCATAATACGTTTTGTGCAATGCAATACATTATACTTTCTGACGCAAGTATCTAGTAGTAAAGGCCACTTAATATAACGTTGAAACAATATTCAAAATCAAATTAATTATTTGGAATCCAACTATTTACTAATGTGATATTAAAAAGTTCAAGAATGGAAATCATAATAATAATAAAATACATATTCCCTAAATTCTTTCAAGCGCCTTTAATTCTAAAGGCCTTTGTTGTTTTGATATTGTTTAACCTTAATCTGTGATAAGAATAACAACAATAGGGAATTGCATTAAAATGTTCTTTTCAAACATGAAAGCCTAATGCCCTGCTGAAAAATCCAGCTTAAACCAACCTAGGATGTTTGGCTGGTTTTAGCTAGTCGACCAGCCTGGTTTTAGAGGGGTTTTGGCACCTTCCAGGCTGTTTTAGCTGGACAGGCTGGGGGATGACCAGCTAAAACTAGCTTGACCAGCCTAGCCAGGCTAGAAGCCAAGCCAAAACCAGCTATGTCCAGCTTAAACCAGGATGGTCAAGCTGGTTTAAGATGGTTTTAGCTGGTCACTTTCCAGTCTGACTAGCTAAGACTAGGCTGAAAATGGTCAAAACCCCTCTAAAACCAGCCTGGTTGACCAGCTAAAACCAGCCAACCATCCTAGGCTGGTTTAAGCTGGATTTTTTTTTTAGCAGGGTGTTGTTTATGATGACAGTGGTGATTAAGTTTCTAAAGTAAATATCTTTAGTTACCAAGCTTAGAAAGATTAAGGGAATAGCATCAAATGTGTCATATTTTTTTCAGGACACTGGATAGCTCACTTACCAAGAAACACGTGCTCACTGCTTGACCTTTTTAGAGTTGCACAACATGTAGGCTAACCATTAACATTGCATATAATGGTTGTTTAGTTTGCTTATTCTGCTATTTGCTAAATTTATTCTATAAATGTGCTATTTCTGCGTTATTGATATGTTATTTATGCGATTTTAACGTATATATGACCCAAATACATGAACTGAAAGAGAATGAGAGAGATGTAAACAAACCCTGATCACTTCCTCGCAGAATCTGCGCACAGACTGGAGGGACGCGAGATCCAAGTGTTTGATGACGATTTCTCCCTGACTTGTACCGGCCTGATTCTGGATGTCCCGGGCCGCGTCCTCCGCCCTCTGCCTGTCCCGACAAGCCATGATCACGCGGGCCTGCAGCTTCAGCAGCTCCGCCGCGGTCGCCTTCCCGATGCCGCAGTTTGCCCCGGTCACGATCACGGTCTTTCCGCGCATCAGAGCCGGGGGGTAGCTCATTAATCTCAGCGCTTTCCGCCTGAATATGATCCTCCGGGCGATGAAGAAAACCCCACCGCCAAGGACAGCGGCTAAAACCACCGCTGCCGACATCAGTGCAGGAGTTGCGGCCGTTGAATGACAGCGAGCGACGGCGTGTGTGTGAGCGTCGTGGACCACATTACCCAGAATGCATTGCTTTGTTATTGTACCGCAGGCCAACTTCTTTATCACACGAAATGCGGTTGTACTTGATTACTATCATTTATTTTCCTGACGAGCATTTTAAGTTAAATGTTTGTTAATGTGATGTTTACATAAATAGATTCATGTCAAGATTATTTTAAAGTAACTGTATTTATTTTTAGATAAGTAAATAAGCATGTGTATGTAATGTTAGCCTAATGCTAAATAAATTCTATAAATAATTGTAGTGTAGCCTAAATATATACACACCGTGTTTATTTATATGTGTATTAATTCAATTAAATAAAACTAAATACTCTTCTCATTGATTTTATATAGCTAATTTTCTAATTTATACCTTCATCAGAGTTCCTCAGTGACGGGCGCAGCTGGAAGGGCATTCACTGCGTAATACATGTGCTGGATAAGTTGGAGATTCATTCTGCTGTGGCGATCCCTGATTAATAAGGTGCTTAAGCCGGAAAAAAAGAATCAATGACCTTTACCAGATCCGTGGTTGATTTCCTATGACATTTCAATGGCATTAAGATAAAAAAGATTCGATTTTTGACAAACACACACTTTTTAAAATGTTTTATTCAAATGTTATTTGCATATTCTTTGTAGCCTAATTAGTTACGAAATATAATAGCATTTCTGAATAAAAATGGCTTATATAAACCATTTTTATTTTACAATTTATATATGTGTAGGCTATAAACATTTATGTTACATGTATTTCTAACCATAATTCATTAAAAATATTTATTTGCATTTCTATAATTTTTTCAGTTTTATATTTTTTTTCGTGTTTTAGAATAATTTTCTTCTAATTAAACTCAAAGAGCTCGAAGAGGAATGTGTACGCCAAAAATGAAACGAAAAAAATAACATTTCAATACACTTGACAATACTTTTTTAATTAGAAATACAAACATATTTTGAATACATAAACATATTTTAAGTGCAAATTTCAGAAAACATATGCTGTATGTTAGTAGACTATAATATATAAGTGCGCTAAAATGCTACACAAAACTAATCGTATATCAGAAGTAAGGTCAAAAATTCTGAACTAATGTTTTTCTGTACCTGTAATATCACAGTCAAAAACAAAAACTACATTCTTAAATATATAAAAACCATATATAAATACAGCAAAAAGGCTAGACACGGATTCATGTTAGTAAGTATTAATACTAGCTCATTTCAGTAAGTATGTAAGTGGCACTCGTAGATACGTAGATAAAGATCAGTTCAGACTCGTGTAAGAGGATGTGGATTAAAAGTAAGCAGAGGATAGGACTGATCTAGGATTGTTAATACTGCTGGTTTGATCGTGGTTCTTATGCCTGGCCCTCAGTGTTTGGGTCCTCATATATGTAACTGCCGACACCTCCGGTATTAACTCCTAAACAAAAAAACATCAAACTACTGTCATCAATATACATCATTTACATTTTTAGAAGTGTCTTCTGCCCATCAAACCTAATTGTGTGTGTTTTTATATAAAGAATGAAGCAAAAATTACCTTTTGGTCCAAAGAGAACAGCGTAACATGGTTTATGGCAGTAGGGCTGGCCATCGTGCTGTAGTTTAAAACAAAATCCATGTAATTATGCTTGTGTTATTTTGTTATTGTGTCATTGTGTTATTTTGTATCTGGATGTATTACACAACAACAATCTGGTATTATTGAATTGTACCTTTGTGTAGCTTTGTCAATAGTTATGGCTAGATAGGATATGTACACTTTTTCTAGTTAAAAATACAGATAGCCATTGTTCAAAACCTAAATGTGGTTTATAAATATTCGAAATGTATGTTTTAAGCAGCCTAGTGGAATATTTTAAATAATTTAAAGTCTTATTTCAGTATGTCGATGTACTTTCAACTGAAACTGCATATTGAGTAGGGGGCGGGACTTTCTTTCATGAATCATTCACTGATTGCAAACTAATGGTAGCTAAAAGGGTTTTAATGTAGATTTGCTATGTAAGCCCTCAGGTTGACATCTACAGAAGGATGCCCTCTCCAAACATGGTCTGTAGGCTTTTATTGAAGATTACCAAAACAAACCTGTTTTTACAGTCAATTTATTTGCATGGATTCATTATTCAAGTTAAGAATAACATTGTGAGCTAGCAAAATAAAGGTTGTACATTTTGATTTTCAATAAAAGCATATTTAATTTTTTTTAAAACCATTTCAAGTTATTATTATTAGCCCCTTTCCGACTGTCTACAGAACAAACCACTGTTTTAAAATGACTTGCCTAATTACCCCAATGTGCAGAATTAACCTAATTAACTTAAGCCCTTAAATGTCACTTTAAGCTGAACACTATAATCTTGAAAAATATTTAGTCAAATGTTATTTACTGTCAACATGATGATAAAGATAAAATAAATTAGATATTAGATATTTTTAAATCTATTATGTTTAAAAATGAGTTGAAAAAAAATCTGCTCTTTATTAAACAGAAATTAGGGAAAAAATAAACGGGGGCTAATAATTCTGACTTCAACTATATACAGTTGAAGTCAAAATTATTAGCCCCCTTTGAATTTATTTTTCTTTTTAAAATATATTTTCCAAATGATGTTTAACAGAGCAAGGACATTTTCACATTATGTCTGATAATATTTTTTCTTCTGGAGAAAGTCTTAATTCTTTTATTTCAGCTAGAATAAAATTAGTTTTTTTTAAAACACTATTTTAGAGACAAAATTATTAGCCTCTTTAAGCTATATATTTATTCGATAGTCTACAGAACAAACCACTCTTATACAATGACTTGCCTAATTACCCTAACCTGCCTAGTTAACCTAATTACCCTAGTTAAGCCTTTAAATGTCATTTAAAGCTGTATAGAAGTGTCTTGAAAAATATCTATTCAAATATCATTTACTGTCATCATGGCAAAGATAAAATAAATCAGATATAGAAATGAGTTATTAAAACTATTATGTTTAGAAATGTGTTAAAAAAAACCTGTTAAACAGAAATTGGGGAAAAAGAATAAAGGGGGGCTAATAATTCTGACTTCAACTGTATATATATATATATATATATATATATATATATATATATATATATATATATATATATATATATTTAGGGCTGTCAAAATTAACATGGTTAATTTTAAATATTTAACGCGTAAAAAAAAAAAAAAAAAACGCAAATAACGTAGTTGCAGTTTTTTTTATTTCCTGTTTTGGCCAACGTGTGTTCAGGGCCGGCACGTCTTTAGAAAACTATTAAAACTATTATGCTTAGAAATGCATAAAAAAATAATAAAAAAAATTGGGGAAAAAAATAAACGGGGGCTAATAATTCTGACCTCAACTATATATATATATATATCCTTTCATAATTCTACATAAAAGCCCATTTAAACTCTATTAAAATTACCAAAAATGCCTGAAGAAACATAAGTAACATACATAATAATACACAGTACTACAGTTGTAAAATATTAAAAAACATAAATACTAAAACACTACTATTTTATTATATGAGAATGCCAATCAGTAAACAAGTGAAGCTGCAGTGTTTTATCACTGTGTTCCTCACCCAGTGTTGGACGGTAGCGTCGCTACTAGCTTAACTTTCTTTTTAGTACAGCATATTATTTACTTTGAATGACTGAACTGAAATATTATGCCTTATATGTTTCATTAACGGTTTTATTAATCACTAAGATATGACTGACTTGGATTTAAGTTGCTTCGATTTAAAAATGAAAATTGTAAAAATAGCTTATATGTAGCTAAACTTTTTGCCGTGAAGCTTTTAGCTTAGCTTGCTACATTTTCCCGGAGGTAGCTTTTAGTGTAGTTAGTAAAGCTACATTTTATGTAGAGTAGCTATTAGCTTAGCTCACTACATTTTTCAAGTAGCTTGCCCAGCACTGTCCTTACCTCCGCATGGCTGCCCGCAGCCAGAGTCTTACTGCACCTCTCGCAGCGCAGGCAGGGTCTGTGCCAGTCTTTACCCAGGGAACTGACCTTTTCAGCTGCAACACAAAGAGAGAAACACAGGCCCCTCGGTAAGCATCAGGCAACCTCCAGAAATGCTAATGCATGTCCTGCCACTTCCGAGCACACAAGAGCCGGCACAAGTCCACATTTGGTGAACTTTAATGTCTGAATGTCAGTGCTTACCAAAGTACACTGTTTTGTTGCACCTTGGGCAGATGTTCGGCTCACCAGAGAACGAACTGAAACTTGCAGCTGTAAAACAGATGTAGCAAACTATTATTCTCACATGTAACATTCATTGAAATGATAACAGCATCTCTTTAAGTGTAAAACGACTAGAATGTTAAAGGGATGGTTCACACAAAAGTGTAAATTCTGTCATCATTTACCCTCCCATTTGAGTTTGTTTATGTTTTGTTGAACACAAAAGAAGATACTTTGAAGAATGTTGGTAGGTAAAACAAATACCATGGAAGTCCATTTTTACAGGTTTCCAAAATTCTTCAATATATAGTAAAAGAAAACAATATATTGTTTGTTTCTGGCTGCAGCTGTATCCCTAAAACCAACTAATTCATTCTACTGCTGTGTGGTTGCTAAGATCATGTGAATGGTTGCTAGGCAAAGCAAGGCAAGTTTATTTATATAGCACATTTCAAACGCAGTGGTAATTAAAAGTGCTAGGGCGTTATTCAGGAGATTTTTCATCAACTGGTTAATTTAGTAAATTTTTGTATAGTGTTGTTTCAGATTAATGGAAAGACCCCATCTCATTCCTCGCCCAACACACGCATAAAATGTTAATTGTGTTCATTTTTATTGAATTTTATATATTTACAACAATTAGGCTACAATACAAGACTTCTCTCTCAAAAATTCTTACATTGTAATTAAAGTGTATTCCTGTCTCATCTAGGGTATTAAAAAAATAAATGTTTATACATATATATATATATATATATATATATATATATATATATATATATATATATATAATTTATCAGATTTTTTAAAACATTAATTTATATATATATATAGTTTTTCCCCCAATTTCTGTTTAACGAAGATAGTTTTTTTCAACACATTTCTAAACATAATATTTTTAATAACTCATTTCTAATAAATGATTTATTTTATCTTTGCCATGATGACAGTATAAAAATATTTTACTAGATATTTTTCAAGACAATTCTCTACAGCTTTAAGTGACATTTAAAGGCTGAAACTGGAATATACTGTGAAAATTTCCTTGCTCTGTCAAACATAATTTGGGAAATATTTAAAAAAAAAGAAAAAAATGCAAAGGAGGGCTAATAATTCTGACTTTAACTAAATATATATGTTTACTTATTAATTAATTAATTTATTCTATTTCTGAGTTATGTAGTGGGAAAAAGATATCCGAAATCCCATCTATCTGTAATTTGTTAATAAAATGAAGCAAGAACTTAACACCTGGTTATATGTTCAGAATTGTGTTCTGAACTTGTATGCAAATTAGTGCATATCTAATTAGACAATGAATCATTTGCATATTCAGGCAATGTTTGTAATACTTAATGTAACATCAACTAAATCTGTTGTGATAGTCATTTATTCTGCTTCGGCTTAGTTCCTTATTTATCAGGGGTTGCCACAGTGGAATGAAACGCCAACTATTCTGGCATATGTTTACGCAGCGATTGCTCTTCTGGTCACAATACAATACTGGGAATCTATTGTGATATCTAAGTTTATTTATTTATTTTTTCCCCATAATTCCCCTTGGTTGTCCTGCCTTAAATGGCCCTATTATGCTATGTTAAGGTTCCTATTTTAGTTTTGAAGGTTTCCTACAATAAGATTACATTTATAAAAGGTCAAAAAACTAATTTCTCCTAATATCCATTACAGTATCAGCTTTTTTTTATTACAGTGTCTGAAAAGGTTTGTTCAACTCCACTTTTAGACACACACTCGCAAACTTCCTTTCCCTTGTTCCCTCTGGGGAATTCCCACCACCATTTTAAGGTGAGTTCCATATGGACATACCATAAATCCTTCAAGTTTGACAGAGGGAGCGAGTTTGCTTCATGTGTCCACTCCAGCATATACACTCACCGGCAACTTTATTAGGTACAACTGCTCGTTAAATACATTTTGTAATCAGCCAATCTCATGGCAGCAACTCAGTGCATTTAGGCATGTAGACAAGGTTAATATGAATGTCTGCAGTTTAAACAGCATCAGAATGGGGAAAAAAGTTAATTTTAGTGACTTTGAATGTGGCATTGTTGTCGGTGCCAGACTGAGTTTTTCAGAAACTGCTGATCTACAGGGATTGTCACGCACAACCATCTCAAGGGTTTACATAGAATGGTCCGTAAAGGCAAAATTTTCAATGAGCAGCAGTTCTGTGGGCATAAATGCCTTGTTGATGCCGGAGGTCAGAGGAGTTTGGCCAAACTTGATTGAAATTATAGAAAGGCAACAGTAACTCAAATAACAACTGGTTACAACTAAAGTATGCAGAAGAGCACCTCTGAACACACATGTCCAACCTTGAGACTGAGATGCCACTTTTGTCAGCTAAGAACATGCAACTGAGGCTACAATTTGCACAGGCTCACCAAAATTAGACAATAGAAGATTGGAAAACATTGCCTGGTCTGATGAGTCTCAATCTCTGCTGCAACATTTGGATGGTAGGGTCAAAATTCAGAAAATAAAAAATTATCCTGCCTTGTATCAATGGTGGTGGTGGTTGTGTAACGGTGTGGGGGATATTTTTTTGGCACACTTTGGAAGTTAACTACTTAAATGTCATTGACAGTCAACAGATCGCAATCCAATAGAGCACCTTTGGGATGTGCAGCCGACAAATATGCAGCAACTGCGTGATGCTATCATGTCAATATGGACCAAAATCTCAGGATTATTTCCAGTACCTTGTTGAGTCTATACCATAAAGGATTAAAGCAGTTCTGAAGGCAAAAGAGTGTCTAACCTAGTACTAGTAAGGTATACCCAATAAAGTGGCTGGTGAGTGTATATGTCCCAGAATGCACTGCAATTGTGTCATCAGACAGCGCAGTTCCCAAGTGCTCAAGGGTTTAGGGTATTCAATATAAACCATTCAGATTTTTCACCAAAAGTGGACACTTTTGTAATGTAACCAATGACCTCCATCTGAGGGAACGAGGCGGGGGGAACGTTAGGGAGTAGAGAGCATAACAAATTCGACTGGTATTCCCAGTTTTTCTAAACCCCGCCTTTCTAAGATTCAGATGGCCCAATCTGTTCTGATATATCTAGTATATGTTTTGTTGTTAACTATATAACGAGAAAGAAGCCTTTAATGGGGTAGACCATTTACATATTTGCTCAACTGGGGTTGAAGGGAGCAATTTGTCCTTAACTTTCTTTTTTAACTTTCTGTATGAAAGGTCAAACACACACGGGTGCTCCTGTCAAACCTCCACTAGCTTTTCCTCCATTTCTTGGGTCCAAATAAACCCCAAAATGAGCGCTTTTACCTTCTCCCTCAACCTCCCGCTGGCCTGAAGGTACACACACACACAAGTGAATGCTGCTCTCTTATTGGCTGTAGGCGATCGGCGATGTTATTTTCAGCAAAACACATTTCACATGGCATGATTTGAATCGCCGACATCTTGAAATATGTACCAAATATCTCACAGGCATCAGCGACTCATCGGCGATTCTCTCAGATCGCGTCTTTGATAGTTCATACTGTGTGATTGTCACTCATGTGTGCAAGCACTGATTTGCCTGTGATTTCAGGCATTTGTCTGCGATTTCTCAAAATCTGGGCTAAAATTATGCAGTGTGAACTCGGCATTAGTCAGCTTTACAACATTAATTTAAGTTCATAAACTTTGGAAGTGCAAGAGTCAATTTGATCGTGCCAAAAAGTAGGTTTCCAGCATTCTGCAAATTATCTTCTTTTGTGTTCAACAGAACAAGGAAACTTCAACAGATTTGTAACAAGTGAAGAGGGAGTAAACTATCACAAAACGTTTAGTTTTGTATGAACTATCCATTTAAAGCTGAAATTATCAACTCCTTTCAGGCACTTTAAATGCAACATGAAAGGTAATGTCTGAAACGTATAATTAAAACATAATTACAGAGATTTGATGTCTGTGATTTTTTTTTTTACAGTAGTACAAACTGTATCTCAGGCAAACTCACCTTTCACTGGGCCTCTAGTGGCCTTTTTCTCTTCAGTTTTAGGTTTGGTTTCCATGGCAACAGGAACAGAGTCATCGCCAACAGGTGTATCATAGACATATGATCCAGCCCCTCCGATATTTACACCTACACACAACACAACACAGTACAGTCGCTTCTTTTCTAATTCTAATATACGGTTGATATTTAAACAGTTCAGTGCGCAAGAACTTTAAATCCATGTAGCAATAACCCACATCTGGAGATCAGAGATAAGCAAAGAAGCTGCTCATGTGTGTTTGCCTCATTAAGAAATGGGTAGCATCAAAGAAAAGCGTGTCCTACTTGCTGCCAGCCCCACAAATTAGGAAGAGACACGTGTAAGGCACTAATTAGATGCACTGTACCTTTCGGTCCATAGAGGGCAGCGTAGCATGGCTTGTGGCAGTACGGCTTCCCATCATGCTGTTGACAGGGAGTAAAAGCACATCAGAGATTAATTAGGCCTCCGGTTCCTGCCATCCTTGTCTGCTGTCATCAAAAATTAACATAGCATGCTGTTCAAATATTACAGCACAAAATATTCGCAACAAGAGCAAGCAACTGCACCTGCCCTGAGAAAGAGTGGTCCAAGTATTCGTTACGAAAACTATTGGTTTACTACTACTACTACTAGTTTTTGTAGCTAGGGCAACGGTAACCCCAAATTAGCTCTGTTTAGCTACAGTTTCCACGTTCTAAAACTGTGTTTAAAAAAAAAAAGACCTGGGAAGAGATGATGCCAACTATCGAGGACTAAAAGGACAACACACACACTTAATACACAAATGGAATTTATTGAACATTTACACATGGACATAACTTTTATGATATATAACTGCAGGTTAACTAAGGTTAACTATGTTTATATAAACTATTTCGATGTGGTGATGTGATTGGACCATGAACATTTCTTTGCTTGTCAAACTATTTCATATCTGTAACAAGAGGCAATTCAATCATAACTTGATGTTATAACATCTATTGTAACATTAATTATCAATATGTGGAAATTTCTGGACTCTTAACCTACGTCACACATGACGTCACACAGGTCCCCAGTTGCAAAAAGATGTCACAACAAAGAATGTCGTGTTGTGCAGCAGGATGCCAAATTCGAAAGTACAAAAATAGAAAACTAAACTTTGACCGTACACCACACTGCTTTAATGCCAACCGCAGACGTCTTTGGCTAAAAAGGAGCTGAATGAAGTGAGGACTTAATTAGAAATGTTCGACTCTGCCGTTCTCATGGTATATCAGGTAAGTTGACGCTATGCTCGTTTTTGAATGCAAAAATGATTTCAGCAAACACAGTTACATATGGTTAATTAAACTGCGGACACTGAATGCTCAGAATGAAACTTGAAAGTGTTATTAAGTTAAGTTATTAAGGTGAAGTTTGTCTTATATTCACACATTTATTCAGTGACAACTTGTGACCCACTTCCTATCTTGTTTACCACGGCACTTTGAATATTCAGTCTGAAATAGCCTGCAAGTTTGACAACATTAACGCTGTTTACTTGACTTAACAGTTTTGTACTTTGATATTTATTGGCTGCTAATATGATTTTGCTATTAATAGTTTGCAAATAATACTTTTATGAAATTATATTGTTAAGGAAAAAGTGCGAATATAAAACCAAATTTACCTCTATGTGTAAATTTACATTCCCTGCCGTACAGGTGTAGTTCATTTTTTTCCCTTGTTTTTGTCTAAGCAGAACCTCGTTTTTTAGCACTACATAGTGTTGAATATGGTCATCATGGAACATTATTTCTTGCACATGACCACACAGAACAAAATTGTTGACATCCAAATACTTGTAGGCATTTAACTTCTCTCTTGTAAAATCACTTGGAGATTTAATGTTGGCGGTTGTATATTTTGGGCTTAAAAAAGTTGTATATTTTGGGCTGGATGCTTGGCCATTTCGTTTTATCAAATATCTATTGGGAGGGTGTTATCGCAAATGGACCTGTCAGATGAACGCCACTCACTTTAACGTTAATTTTACTGAATCACTGTGCTTATCACTGGATGTCAAGTTGTTATAATATGCTGAAAGCATTATGTAAATAATATATATATATATATGTATATATATATATATATATATATATATATATATATATATATATATATATATATATATATAATGTGTAATCAATATTACTTATTTCTAAGACAACAACAAACTCTGTGCCACATCGGGTGTCATTCCCTCACTATAAATGCTAGCACTCACGTTTTTTCTGCCACATCGCTGTTTACAAATTTGTCTATAGAAATCAAAAATGTAAAACAGAAAATACATCAGGACCATTGCTTTTGTTTACATCTCTCAAAATGGTCTATATAACTGTTAAATATATATAACTGAATATAACTGTTAAAAGATATTAGTTACTACACTATACAAATAAATTTGAATTGAATTGAATTGAATAAAACCATTGTTAATTTTCAAAACTGACTTTTAAAGAGTAATCCAGAAACATATTTATGTTTGACAAGTTAGCTGCAATGTTTAAATTTAGTACAAATTTATTATTATTTATTATTATTTATTTATTATTTATTCGATTGTCAATTCAAATGGAAAAGAATAAACTATGCAAACAAAATTAAATCTATTATATTAATAGGTTAAATTTAAAAGAAATGCATTTGGCTGAACTTATGATTGCTTTTATAATTCAACTAGAGAATAGTCACTTCCATGGTATTTCTTTCCTACTATGCTCAAAGCTCTCATTGTCAACATCTTTAAAATATCGTCTTTCATGTACAACTGAAGAAAGGAGTTTATAAAGGTTTAGAACAAATAAGGGTTGTGAATTTTCATTTTTATTTATTTTTTATTTTTAATGGTTATGGTTTTTTTTTTTTGCAAAAAAATATATTACGTGTTTGCATCAAAATTTGTAAATAATGCAAAATATGAATTACATTGTCAATAAAAAAGATGAATGATCACATTAAACTACTGAATTGTATCACAAATGCACTCTGAAGTTTAACTACTTGCATTTATTTATGTTAAATGTTATGCATTCAAATTTAATTGTACATAAAATGCAGCTAAATCAGAAAACATTACATTCAGTTTATTTGATCATTTGTTTGATTAATTTGTGAAAATTAAAAGATTTACCAACTATATTTCAACAAATTGTTGAAATGAGAAATGTAATAAATCATTTTAGTGTGCATAAAATAAGTGTATTTCTACTTTTTTATATTTATAAATCATAAATGTAGAACGTTTGTTTTTTTGTTGGGTTTTCATATGATATTGTTGTACTTTTTAAAAACATATACAGGCCTTTTAAGCACATTAAAAGTGAACATAAAACACAATTAAAGTGCCTTTTTTCTCTCTAAACTCGTAAATGAGGTAATATTTGTAAAGTCTCTTTAATCAGCACTAAAGTTTCAGTATTATTACACAGAACAAACTCTGATATGACCTTTCAAATTTGAGAATTTTCATCACAATGTAAACTTGCTAACATTTTACAGCCTCTAAGATTTTAAGTTTATATATATATATATATATATATATATATATATATATATATATATATATATATATATATATATATATTTATATAAATATATATATATAGCTTTTATTACATTTAAAATTTATAGTCCTCAGGGAAATGTATATGGGCTCAAAAACAAAATGTCCTTCCCCAAAATGTCCTCCAACAAAACAGATTCATAATCTGTTTAGTGTCAAACAAACAGTCAGACTCAGCAGGCATGTTCATAACTCAACGTTCAAAACAGGCCATTTTTAGAATGGTCACGCTAATGTAAGCTAACATTTACCTTCCCTCAGCCAATTCATTCAACACAATCGATTCATTCAGTGACATCTGAATTGATAATAACATACTAAAGATACGACAGACATAGTAAGAATAAATTCAGCAAGTACTTTATTTATAAGCAAATAAATATTTACCAAAACCCCTTTGATCTAAACACTGAATCTGTCAAGAACGACATGAAAAAATACCTGTAAATAGAAACTTAAATGGTAAAGTGTATTAATAGTATTTACAACACTTTGTCGATTAATGCAACAGCATACTGTAGTATTAGTGAACTGATAATCCAGTAAACACTGTATACTTTACTTTTTGCTGTAGTGCACTGTAGTATAATAACCTACAGTTGTAAAAACAACTAAAAGTATTGGGTAATTTAATGTATTTGTTGTGTTACCACATCAATAGAAACACCACAACAGATTAATTCAAGTAATGTACTATAGAAATGTTTAAAAACACTACTTACCACTATTTATTACACTATTTACCACACATTACTGTAATATTTGTTTTTATGTCTTGAACACCACTTCTTCATGGTAAAAAAAAAAAAAAGTTTACAGTTCCTTTATTATTAAAGTATAATTGTTTTCTGATGGTTGTGATATTTAAACAAGATTCAATTCAAGTAATACTGCTTAAAAGGGTCACACTATGAGAAATCAACTTTTCTTTCGTTTGACATAAGAGTTTTGACATATAAGAGGGCTTTGTACCATTAAAAAGAGCATTTATGTAATCAAGCTCCAAAAACAGCTTGTTTGGCTCCTGTGGGATTTGTGAAATCACACGGGCAAATGCATTTGGGTCACAGACCAAAAGGGGTTTTCAAGCATTTAAATGAATATACATTACCTTTACATTTAGCCTTTTTCTATCCTGTATATCCAAATATGTCCTGTTTATCTGTTTTTTTTTATGCAAAACATAACGACTACTGTACACTTTTACCATTATTTACAGAAGACATCGACTAATGTCATGTACAGTTGAAGTCAGATTTATTAGCCCCCCTGAATTATTAGCATCCCCTGATTATCCCTGTTTATTTTTCCCCCAATTTCTTTTTAACGGAGAGAGATTTTTTCCAGCACAGTTCTAAACATAAAATTTAAGGTGAAATTTAAAGGCTTAATTAGGTTAACTAGGCAGGTTAGGGTAGTTAGGCAAGGTAATGTATAACGATGATTTGTTCTGTAGAATATCGAGAAAAAAAAATAGCTTAAAGGGGCTAATAATTTTGGCCTTAAAATGTTTTTTCAAATATAAAAAACTGCTTTTATTCTAGCTACAATCATAAAAATAAGGTTTTCTCCAGAAGAAAAAATATTATCTGACCTACGGTGAAAATTTCCTGTCTCTGTTAAATATCATTTGGGTAATATTTAAAAAAAGAAATAATTCTGATTTCAACTGTATGTGTGTGTTTGTATACAGTACTCACCTACATAGGAGCCCACATTAAAGTCATTATTTTCTCTTTAAAGACAACCACACTTATAGCCATGTTATTGTAACATTTTTGTGTTAGAGCTGCACAATTTTAGGGGGGTTATATTGCAGTATTTGAAAAGTTG